TTCAACTTTCCATTTGCACAAACTCTCGTCATCCTAGAGGATTAGATTCATCTAGTTCCACAAAGCCCCCAATCGATTCTCCAATATCATACAGAAACGAAGAACACCTTTTATTGAAAGGAACATTAACTAACCGCACCCACATAGGTGAAGTATGGAATTCAATCTCCGACGGTTGCTCCCCTCCTTGTATCTCTTTCAGCAGCAATAGTTTCCCATCTAAAAAACCAAGGCCTTCCCTCCATAATTATCTCTTTATCCTCCTTGAAGAATTGAAAAACAAAGAGATTTGTGTCGACCGTATTAATGGCAATCTTGTCACTCAATCTCCATAGAAGATAGGGTTCGCTTCATGGCCTCGACACTGAACGTCTTAACCGTACACATCTTTCCTACAAGGGCAAGATGAATTTGATCATTCGTCGTGACCCCTTCATCGACACCCTCACCACAGCCTACCACCAATTCCTCCTCATCAGTGAGTCGAAATTTCTCCCAATCCACTCCATTATTCTAGAAAACTAGCGAAAAATGATTGATTGATTATGAAAACAGGGAATTGCACGATCACACTACAAAAGTTCGAGAAAAACCACGAGCCCTAGGCAAGGACTACTAAACCCTATGCAAGGGACTCTGATTTGGTCTTGGTGGGTAGACTATATTGTGATTCACTTTGTTTAATTAAACATGGAAAACAATTTATTAACTTAGTATGTTTATAGTTTTTATCTTAGCATAATAAGTCCATTCTTGATTAAAATTATACTTTTCGTGTATAAAATGATACACATGGAGTAGAGCCATACCAGGAGGGGGAAGGTGTTAGGGAATGGGAATCCCTTTTAGAATGAGTTCGGTTAGGTTTGATCTTATGTCCAGAAGTCAAAGATTAGAGCTAGGTAGTATTATTGGACGCAATTTTATCACATCGATTATTTTGTAGATATCGCTTATGTTAGAGATGATTTTATAATTCATGACCTAAAAAGGTGATAAAATTCCTTCTGACAAACTGATAAAATGCTTAAACAATTGATTTTTTTTTCTTTGATTAGGTCTAATAATCAATAATCAATCATCAATCGAAGCATACAAGTGATAATACTGTATTATTTATTTAAATACTACATTTCTCTATCCATATTTCTTTAAGAAAATGATGCAAAACAACTAAAGATCGAATAGAGAATAGAGTACGTAGTAATTAAGCTAAGTTGCTATATTGCATGAATAATACTTAAATGCCAACAAATTAAATTATACCACGTTGGTTTATTATTTTATGTGATATATAGATAAATATTATCATAAAAATAGAAAAAGTAATAAAAAAAATTATTTCATTGACGTGCAAAGTAAGGAAGTACTGTACTAAATTATAGCCGGTGAAACCAATGCATATTATGCATGCAAATTTGAGATAAACGAATAATTCAACAACAACAAGACATGCATGGCATGCAGGAAGCCACCGGTCACTGAAACCATAAATTCTTCATTAAGAGGCTGATGATAAGACTGAAATTCAGCTTCGTCTTCTCTTTTTCAAATTTCAATGGAGTGTGTTATGCATTTGTTTCTACCCTCAAACTACATTTAATATATACACCGCCTTATTTTATTGGAAAAAGATACATATACGTTGTACCTTTCATACTAGTTTTGGATCCGAGTAGTGTCTCAAATCATTACATGGTGTTATACATGTACATGTAATTCATGACAGTCTTCTTTGAATTAAATTATATTTTTCATATTGTCATTCACTATATTTTGAGCTTTTATTTTTGGATAAGGGTAATGCTATAGGACTGTATATAAGTATTTAATATACTTACTTTTATAGTATTAAGTTGGAAATTAATCGACAGATTATGAGTAAATCGGTGTAATAAATGTTTATTTATTGTCTATTCTTTCCACGACTGCATATATCATTTTCCTTTATTTTTAAAGAAATACTTCGTATGAAATATATAAGTTAGTAGTAATAAGACATCAGCTAGTATTAAATCATGAGACTGTATATAAAAATCTTGTATACGAAGTATATCATAATTATGATTTTTATCTTTAATATAATTTTGTTGATATGAGATGAGAAACAATGAATGGTAGTGATAATTTTTTTTTTTTTTTTTTTTAAGAATAATTAAGGTCTTTTAATATATAGTATATATTCCTAATTAATATTTGGCAGATACAAACAAATTTATATCAACTCAAAATTTGTAAATAATTGCACATTTTTTCTCTTAAATTTAGAGGGTGCTTGAATCTTCTCTTGATGAATCTTTAATTATGCTCTCCTTTTTTTGAACCATTTAACACCCTCTAAAATATACTCCTCTTGTGCTAGAGATCGAATTAAAATTTACAAAATACTTGAAAAATAAAACATAAAAAAGCTCATAGAAAAAATTTCCAAATATTAGTTCTTGCCGCTTCCAAATATTAACTCCGAGCTCCGACGCTATCCTTACAATTAGGTTTTACTAGATGAAAGCCCGTGCGATGCACGATTTTTCATACATATATCTCAAGAAAAGATATTTTCTATATACTCTAAGTTTTTTTTTTTTTTTTTTTTTTTTTTTATAATTATTTGATTTATTTTACAATTTAATAATTTCAGACAAAAAAAAAAAACCATATAATAATTTAATTAAAATATATTGCCAATTACAAAAGTATAATTTTTTTTAATGTAATTTATAATGCAACTTAATTTATTGTTGTTTTGTTATTTATTCATTGTTGTTAGTTATATGACAATAATATGATATCTTTCAAAAAAAAAATTTAATATGATATTTCGTTGATTACATATTAGGGTAAAATCTTTAATATGAAAAGATAATAGTTTTTTATTTTTAAAATAATTTAAATCCTAAATCATTATTCGTTGCTTTTTACACTTGAAATTAAACTCTCAAATCTATATATCATTTTGTATATTTCTTGTGATCTCTTGATATCTGACAAATTATCTGTCTTTTCAAATTTTTAGACATAAAATGTTTAAAGAAGGTAAAGTTTTTTATTGCGTTATAAGTTTTAAATTTTTTTTATGAAAAAAACATCTTATTAAACAGGTATTTAGATAAAACCATTAATTTCATAAGATAATTTTTTTTTTTAATAATTTAAATCCTAATATCCCATGGTTTTTTATAAATAAAATCTCATAAAAATAATTTTTGTAATTAGATCATACTCATAATATTTTTGAACATTAAAAATAATAGTTATTAGATGTAATATTTCGATGTAAAAAATTATTTTGATAGGATCACCAACTTTGTTCACACCGATAACTCTTCCATCTAATAAAAGTGGATAAATAGAACATGTTAGCAAAAATAAAATTTATATAAAATTAATCTTTATAGTCTTATAAAATAAATTAAAATATTTATCAGAAAGTGAATAATTGTTGGGAAATTAATCTGAAAATTGTAATTATACAAAATTAAATCTATGCATTGGAATTTTTTCATTGTTCCCAATTGCCTAAACAATAGTATTTTGGAAAATTGAATTATTATTTTATTTTCGCTGACAATGCGTGCGATATTGCTTCTTATTTGTATCTAATGGAGTAAATTTTTCCTTCAATCAATTTTGAACAAAATTGTAGAACAAAGTTGACTTTAATTGAAGCATGAACGTAATCACCCTGTAATTAAAAATTAAAAAATAAGTTAATTTTACGACTTAATTAAGTTGCCTAAATCACAAAAAAATTTGTTAAAAATTTTATTAAAAGATTAAATAAATGTAAACGATTTATAAAGATATAACACCTCCTCATCCAATGGGATCATCAGGCGAGAAACTCGTACTTTGATATTCCAAAGATTTTTGCTCGAATATAATTCTCTAATAAAATTAGATTTGCATGTAAAAACAAAATTCAGTGAACAAAACATAAACATATAATCATTAAGTATCCCAAATAAACACAATTTAAGCAATAATCACAAATATACATTTAAACATGGGTTTTAAAAATTAGGCTAAGAATTACCCAGCCATTGATGACCTAATAAAACTGACACAAAATTAATGACACAAAATTTTCTTGGTTTGGTTTTGTATTGATACAAAATTTTGTGGGTGTCATATGATGCGTCAATTTATAATGGTAAATATCACAAATTTCAATTTAATTATAATTAAGGAATAATTTTTATTTCTTATCATAAACACTATCAAAATTTATCTAATAATAGTAGGTATATAAATCCTATCTAAAGATGATTATTTTAAAAGATAATTTTTAGTTTTTTAAATAAATTAAATCCTAATAAATCAATATTCGTTGTTTTTACTTACGTGGCAAAATTATTAAATCTCATTCGTCACTTTTGTTTAGGTGGCAAACGAATTTTTTAATTCCAAAATAAAATAGAAATCTAATTTTTAATTGGACGAAATTATACCTTTGTTTATGTGGCACGCCGAATGCTCTCCAAAAATACTAATTAAGCTAATAAATCAAATTACACCAAGCAACTACCGTATAAAGTTTTTTTTTGATGTAATCAGATCAACGTATAATTTTGTCAAGCATTTCTAAATTTTTACCAATTTTAAAAATATAGAGTATTAAATACAAGTATGTATGTTTAAGAGTAGTGTACAACACTTTATCATTTCCTCCAACATTATACTAATAATAAATTAAAAAAAAAAAAAAAAAAATCTATCATTACACTCTTTATACTACACAGAGCCACAGAGGTTCAAATTTAATATTACATGCACATGCAAATTGCAAAACATATTATAGATGTTTAAACTGGCTGGTGGCCTTACCACATTTATAACCTTCTCAACCGTACTTATTTTCATGCAAATTTTGTCTTCTTCCACCATTCTTCTATATAAACCCCTCTTAAATCTTAATATAGTCAACTTTCACTTGCTTCTTATTTCTACTTACAAAAAATAAAAAGTTTGTAATTTTGATAGTTAAAATTTAAAGTATTAATATGAATTCTAAGCTTCTTATCTTTCTAGGGCTTATATACGTACTTGTTTGTGTTATTGGTGAAACTTATGCTATAAGAAATGATCGTTTCACCACTAAGGATTTAGGTGATATTGGTGTGTATGGTGGTGGTCCGGGAATGGGTGGCGGAATTCCCGGTATAGGCGGTCTTCCTCCTCCCGGTGTGATCGGAGGTGTACCACCGGGTGCACCACCGGGCGGTGTTGTTGGGGGTGGTCAAGGTGGCATAGGGGGCATGGTTCTAGGTGGTGGTTTAGGTCAAGGAGCGCCGGGTTTTGGTATGGGTCAAGGTGGGCCTGGTGGTGGCATGGGCATGGGTGGTGTTCCCGGAGGTGTTGTGGGCGGGCAACCGGGCTTTGGCATGGGCTCAGGTATTGGTGCTGGTATTGGTGCAGGTTCTAGGATGGGTGGTGGTGGTCTTGGTGGACCCATCGGGGGGTCCACCGGTATTGGAGCCGGAGTGGGTGCTGGAATGGGCGGGAACATGGGTGGTTTGCCTGGTATACCCGGTGTCGGTTCGAGTTCAGGTTTTGGCATTGGAGCTGGGGCTGGGGCTGGCTCTGGTGTTGGTCCTAACCCTGGAGGAAACTAGGACTACGTAGTACGTACTACACATGAACACGCACTATAAAAGAAATAAGGAATCCTTTAGTTTGTTATTATAAGTATGATTTTGTCAAGTTATTAGATAATTAGTAGGCACTATCTAAATATGTAGTGTTAATTAAGTTCTTTATATTGTCCAAACTGTTCTGTATTGCAGCTGTACGTGAGGTCTTTTAGTTTGTTGTTGTGTCTTAATACAATAAGAAGAAAGTTGATCTCATATTGAACACTAGTCACTCTAATACGTTTCCTCTCTTGATTTTAGCTAATTTAGCTGATAACTATTTATCTATTTACTTTATATACGAGTAACAGTGGCGTTTCAGGATTTTCAAATAGGATGTGCACAATATACTTATTATCAATCAATCGATCAATAACTATATACTAAAAACACACCACTAATGACACGTGTCATCATTTGGTGTGTCCTTAAATACATATATTTTTTATTTTCTTTTATTTCCTAGGAGAAATTATTCTTTTAAGTAAAGTTTAATGAGGTAAATAAAAGTTGTCTAAAATGTAAATAACCTTAATTGTAAAAAAATAATTATTATCTAGATCTTTAATTATAGAAAGAATAAAATACAATAACTTCTTTAGGAAAAATATCATATACGTAGTAGATTATCAACATAAGATTTTTATTACTTATTTTTGTTAAGTAAATTACCTTGATAACCAATATTTACGTAAGAACATCAATCAATAACTGTATAATTTATTGATTGATAACTATTAATTATTATATAAAATATTACCAAAATATAATTTAAAATATATTGATATCTAATTAGAGTTCGTATCAGGAGAAAAGTTGAATAAGAAATAATATGTTGTCGGAATGATATGTAATAATATTATATTAGGTTGCGCAGTTTTGGATGAAATAATAGAGTGATTTTAATAGTGTGTACAAAGAAAATTTATTCGCAAGGTTAGTACTTAGTACATAACTTTAAAATTTTACATCTAGTTAACAAGGAAAATAACACTTTAGCAATACCACACCGAAATACATAAAATAACCATATGCTCAAAGGCTTAACTTTAAAGTACATATTTAGCTAATCGATTTTTTCATGACTATGTTTCATTTTAGTAAATGTTTCGGTAGTTTAATTCACACTAATTTTGACAACTTTTTACATTGATTAAAATAGTTGTAAATTGATAATAACACTAAATATTACTGTGCATAGCACGAGACCTAAACTAGTAAATTATAATTCTTTTGACGAGCCTATATTTACTGTTCAAAACTTTGTTCTATTTTTTTTTATGTATCATTTATATTAAATAGTTAAGTATAGACTTTGATTCACTATGACTGCCGTGACCGGAAGTATAACACTCTAGAAGAAATCTAATCCAAAAGAATTAGAAATTAATATTATCAACTAAACAGAGATGAAAATAGATATAATTATATAAATGTAAATAACAAATATGGGGTTGAGGTCCCCCAATAATAAAAAAAATGGCAATAAGGCCAAATGCAGGAGAAAATCAAAATAGAGGGCTAACTTTTTAACAAGAGGTTTCGAACACAAAATCATCAACCCTTGTTTGCTATCTTGCATTTCCAGCCAGCGCCACTACACTAAACTTATAAAATAGCATCCTATTTGCATTAAATAATGGTTATATATCTTGCCAGGGGTGGGCAAGTGTCTACCCTAAGTGCATGGTAGATCCGCCCGGACAAGTAAGTGTGCCTATGCAATGAGTTTGAGCGATGTACGAAGAAATGAAATATAAAAGTATACTACCTCCGTTTCATATTACTCGTAATAAAGGGTATTATTTGTGAGACATAAAATATACCCTTGATGCAAGTAATATGAAACGGAGGTAGTATTTGTTTTTAAATACTTGTTCTATTCTTCCATCTACCCCATTACCTTCATAGTTTATTAATTTCTCCGATTTCTTCTAAAACTCTGCGTGTGAAGAAATGGAGCAAGTATTTAAAAACGGAGTCATTTTTCAATTTTTGGGGCTTAAGGGTTTTAGTGAAATTTACTTAGCCCTAAAATCATTAGGCCGAAGCATAAGAATACCCAATAAGTGGCCCAGTCACCTTGATAGCCAGATGTTCTGCCCCAAGGCCCCAACCATTGTCAAAGCGGTTACAAGTTTACAAGTCTTACAAGTAGAAGCATATCATCAACAACAAACATGAAGATTACTTCATCTTTTAGCATGATTATTAGCGTTAACCTTAACCTATAGGCTAGGTTTTAGGACTAGATTTATTTGTAGTTTCAGTTTTATACTTCAATATTGTATTAGAGGGTATACGAGACCCCGATTGCAATCACTAGGGTTGTTGGTATTGTATAATTCATCTCATTGTAACTGTCAAGCATGTTGAATATGTCAATAATTTCAAAATAGAGTGACAAATTTTGAAGAGTCAGTCATTCCTAGGAGCATATTTGCATTTTTACAACAAAAATAACACACACACGGACACACCACCCGCCCCCCCACCAAAATAAAAAAAAAAAAAAAAAAAAAAAAAAAAAAAAAAAAAAAAAAAAAACCAATGGCCTACAATTGTCCTATATACATCTTTTGTTACTTATATAGTTATATTATCAGAAAAAGAAACAAACAAGCGTTACTTTACATTGGCTTGGAGTATTACCTAGTCAAAATGGCATGGCAAAAGTCGTCTAGTCAGTCTACTGCATATGACTGTACCATTTTACTACAAATAGCCCTAAACGTATGGAAGCGAACACCCTGGCCTATATGAAAAAGGAGTTAAATAACCTTCCATCCATATATCCAATCAGTGGCGGACCCAGGAATTTCCGACTGGTGAGTCACAATCGATAATCAAATATGTAAAAAACTTTTTTTACCAAACAACCAAATAATAGTACTAAAAAATACATCTAAATATTCAAACAGTACAAAATACAACCAAATGTTCATATAATACTACAAAAGATAATTAAATAGTAATGCAAACTTATTACAATAGTTCTCGACGAGTTTTCATGTTTTGATATCGATTTATGATATCTTCCATGCTAACATTCAAAAACAAATCATTCTCCAAATAAGTAATTAAACAATCATTCAACATTTGATTTAAAATAATCACTCAGGCACTCAGCAAGTCAGCACTTCAGCATTATCATTATTATCATTATTACCCCTAAAACAAAAACTTAGAATTCAAACAATATAGATTTAAAATAATAATAATCATAATTGTGAAAACTAAATAATAGCAGAGACAAAGAAAAGCTTAAGTTTGATAAAATCTGGAAAATTATAATCTTACTCGTCCCACTTCGCTAGAAGATCGTCCGTAAACTTATCGAGGTTAGTGTTATCCCATGGATCTGCATCCCGAAACTCAGTTAGAGGAGGAATAGAACAAAAAAGACGAACAGGGATAGAGTCATCCATTTTTCTTTAAAGTTTTTTCTCAATTTCTATTGCTTCTCTTCGATTAGGGTTTTCTGGAAAATTTGAGAGGAAAGAGGTTTGCAATTCAGTAATCTAAACTGCAATTTTATAACCTGCAAGTATTTGGAGTCGTTTTTGGTTTTAATCTTTTTTCTAATATCAGGCCTCCTGTTTTTCTTTCCTTTTTCTTTCGAGCAATAAAAATCTCAGCCCTTCACTACCCTTTTCCTGTTATTGTCCACCGTCCACGATTCCACGGAGACGGAGCAGGCGAAGAGAACGGTGGCTGGGTGGAGAACTGGAGATGAAGCGAAGAGGCGAAGAGAACTAGAGAAGAAGGCTAGGGTTTGAACTTTGAGGAACAGAGGAAGACAGTAACTCGGGAAGCTAAAGAAAGTTTTTTTTTTTTTTTTAAATAACTTAAAATTTTTTTTGGGCCCTGGTGAGTCACTTGACCCACCAGACACAAGCCCAGGTCCGCCACTGTATCCAATCACCTATGCTTTAATAACCTTCCCCTTTATATTATTTCATTCAATTCATTTTATTATTTGAACTAACCCACTAAAATATATCTCCATTTTTCTACACTTTATGGAAAAAACACAAACACCCCCTAAGAAAAAGCCTTTCAACAACACCACCACACAAAACCACCACTCAAACACCAAAAAATGGGCTGATCTTCCAAAAGACGTCCTCCATCTCATCGCTTACCATCTTGATTTTAAGACGGATCTCCCCCGCATTCGCGGTGTCTGCCCCTCATGGAGATCCGCCCTACCTCTAGCCGATTTCCCCTTACGGGAAATCCACTTGGAGGTCCCACCCCTCGAATACAACAACAACAAAGCCTTAGTCCAACCCCTCCGATATGGTAATAAGTACAATAATAGACCTATTTATCTTCTCAAGACTAGATACTACCTATTTTACCCTTTGCCCGGGAGTCCTTGTCGGGGCGGGTGGATAGCTAGAATGGGTGAGCTTGGTTTAAACAAATGGCGACTTCTTAGCCCACTTAGTAGCAACTTTAATTTTAAGAGGTACTTGGACACTGACCCACCCATAATTGGAGAGATCAACCTGTTGGATTTTCGTGTTGTTGAGCTTGCTAGACCCATGTCTTTGGTTTATGATTTGAATTACAATGCAGATCCAATATCGAAGAAAGTTGTCCAAGGGGCTCGGGCCGTGTTAGTGTTAAGTGACGTGCTAGGATTAGGGGGTTGGTTGATGTTGTGGAGGTTCGGGGATCACCAATGGGTTAAAATTGAAGAACAACAACAAGATCATTATGTGTGGTTTGAAGATATTGAGTTTCACAATGGTAATTTTTATGCCTTTCGGATGACATCGTTTTCTCAGTTTCAAGTGCGGGTGATCAATCCAGGTATGGGCGAATCTCAATTTCTTTTATTTTTATTTATTTATTTATTTATTTTTAATCTAGTTGACAAAGAATCGCAAGTTAAAATAATGTAGATGAAATTTGATTCAAAGTCTTACATATTTTACTCTTATGACTTTAACTAGGGGTGAAACTAATGCGGT